GAGGTCTCGTTATGGAAGTAGGAGTTGGCCTTTATTTCAATCTTAAAGAGCTCACATCCACTGTGAGCCACTTTCATTGTTGCTTATTCTGTCACTCTTCACCACTAGAGCCTCATTCTCAGGCCATCATTAATTCATTTAGCTCCTTACAATGTGGTTTTAAAAAAAATCAAGGGAAAAAAATAAGATTCTGAAGGTTGGAACCCAGCATTGCATCTCAAAAATTCATTAAACCAAGGCTTCTTTCAGATCTCTAATTTGCATCATAATCCGTTGGCATATATTTGTCTCTTGTCATCTAAATATCTTAAATGCAGATGCCCAGGGACTGTTAGGTGAGGAGTCTGTGTTTACTATCTAGCTTCTCAGAGTGGCCACCTGTGTGAATTTTTTTAGTTTTTAAAGATTTTTTTTTTCTCTACTAAAAGCTAGACAGGTTGCAGATCTGGCAAAGAAATGTACAAACCCCTTTAATTGGCTTATCCAATAAGCAGGCTTTTCCATCTTTTAACAGCTAAAAAAGAGGTCCAAAATGAATAGTGTTTTTGCAGTTCTTTTGCTTTACCTCTTAGTGCATCTGTTTTTGCTTTGAAATGCGGGGCATTGCTTGAATGTGTTTGCAAATGAGGAATCAACTCTGAGCCCAAGACCTGTCAATAACAAAAGTGACTGCATGGTTGGTATTAAAATGCCATGTCTTACCTCAGGATCAGCCTGCAGTCTTCATGTTACACCCATTTTATGAAAAGGTACATGGCACTCAAAGCCTGCAACAGGTCAGACAGTTTTACAGCTCTTCCTATAAATTTCCATGGTTTCCTGGTTTAGATTTTGTTACAAAATCCTGTCTAGTAGTCTTTATTTTTCCAGGTGGCCGCCTTCTGTTCTAGGTGAGACTTGTGGCTATAGACATATGTATATTGCAGAGTATGAAGGAAGAAAGGAAATGTTAACCAGCTGTTAATCTTGAAATGATTTTAAAAAACAGAGCTAATTTCATGTTTATCTAAATACCTGAGGAAGTACCAAACCCATCCATTACAAAGCAATCCTAGAGAGATTGTGTTTCAATTACAGAATCAAATCACAAGGCTTACAGTGTTAGAGTGTGCTACTGCCATCAACACAATAAGACTTCTTTTAATAGTCATTTTTAGCATAACAAAAGAGAGAGATTTGACATAACACTGCACATTGTGCATTACCAGGCTGTTTTGCTCTTTTCATGAGCAAATGTTTAAAGTTAAAAACATACATGTGTATATGTCAGTCAGTTAAATTAAAAGCTGTGATGTGACGTGAAGTCCCAAAATCTGATATTTTATTTACTTGTCTAAGATTGGTTGGAACTAGACAGAAACCCCAGTTTTGGCAGTCAGTTCCATTATGGAAAAATGTGGTATGCTTGTTACTGTAAGTGTGACTGGTGCACATGTCTGTTTGCTTTTAAAAAGGGTCATCACATATAGAGTAATGTCTTACTAAATACATTTGCATAATGTACAATTTTCTGTGAAACATCACACACTAGCCAGTAGTTTAGGTAATGAGGGTGGTCTTGTTTTTCTATGCTGTTCATTGTGAACTGAACATGAAGTGTGTTTTTTATTGTGCTCTTTCAGTGTTCTGTATTTTCACTAATCAAAGTGAAAGACAACATGTAGGAGAAATACTGAATGTAAAGGAATAAATTTTCACCTATGCATTTCTTCACCTTTAATCTCAAAGTTCAACTCTTTCTAAAGAGCATTTGAAATGCAGAAATCTCTCTGCACTCATTTTTGCACCTTCAGCCCCTCATTCAGTCTGTCTAGGCCTCTTCAGTGTCAGGCCTGTTTATTTTACTGTGCAGGTGAAGCTGGGATCTAAGATCCCGTGGCAGAGGCTTGGGTTGGCTCTATTACAATCCACATGTGAAACAGCAGCCCCTTGAAACGATTATTTTTACCAATGTGTTGGGTGGCTTATGAAAACCTGCCTTTGTTTTTCTTAGTCTTAATAAGCACTCACTACTGAAGGTATAGAGTTTCAAAGAAGTGACCACAGTATAGACCTCATGTTTGCATTGCTTTGATTTTAAAAAAAAAATATAAAGATTGAACATTGGTGACAGCTGCTGTATATCTTACAGGATGTTCAGTATTAGTTTACATTTTTATATTTGTTTTACAAAAATGCTCTCATACACCTTTCTTTTGGACTTTGTATAAAGTGATATGTACTGTTTTTGTGTGTATTCAGAAGACATTTCAGCTACAAAAATGCACTGTAACAAATCTCAAGCACTCACACTGGAGCAGCATGTCCTAGAGTAGAAGTTATCGAACTGGGGGAAAATTATATCATCAGTCTTTGGTGACACCAAAGGAACCTGTTTTGGAGTGTTGTTAATTTATTTTTCCAAGTATGTACTTTCCTGAAGCCCGCAACTAAATAAGAGTTTAATGTTTCCTGATTTATGGTCACTACAGCATTCTGGCACCTCTTGAGAAATAATTACTCGACATATTTGAGCCCTGCAAGTGTTATACACTATAAATAGGGGAAAAGAGAAAACAATTTTCACTTTCTCCATCTCCCCTCATATTGCAATTTCAGTGTTTGGAGACAAGAAATTGAAAAACTGCAACAAATAGCCACAAAACATAGCTGAGGGGTGGCAAAGCTGCAGTGACGTCTGAGCACAAATATTTGTTTGTTGACACAGAGATTGTCTAGCCTGCTCTTGGTTTTTGCTCTTTCCAAAACGAGCATTTAGGTTAATTAACATCACTCGTTAGAGGTACGGTGGAATTCAACTGCTGTGTGAGCCAGAGTAGCATTTTTATTTATTAGTTGTATCTGAAGGATAACATTTTTGGCAAATATAATGTTTTTCTATGCTTTGGTTTAGTAATGAAAATAAATCTAGAATGGGTGTATTTTAGAAATTCTAGAATGTACAGTATTGCCCAAGTATTTCCATTTTGTTAAATTATCTGCCATTTTGTTAGACTTGCATTTAAAAATGCTTTATTCTTTTTTTTCTTTGGCATTTAATATACACCTTTTAAAATGGTTTGTAGACTGGGCACTTGTAGATGATAATTCACATAATAAATATGAAATATTTTCTTATAATTGCTGTGAAAATTAATATTCCCACATCTGAAAGTACTTATTAACATGTATAGGTATACATCAAAGATTCTTTTCAGTGCCTTGATTGAAATATGACCTCTCGTATGTAAACAGGGCCCATGTTGACAACCTCATGGACAAAATAGTGGAATTTTAATGGTGACGTGCAGCAGGCAGTGCAAGGACTATTACATTGTATTTAATTATTAAAGGTAGTGAGTGAGAGCTTCATTCAGTGAAACTGGTACTACCAACAACTGAAAGATCAAAGAAAGAAAACCCTCTCCGCAATTGCTTCTATGTGACAGGTAGTGAACCAGTAGAGAATTTAAGAATAACATATTTGCATGCACAGGACCTGATTCTTCTTCAGACAGCACATAACACATTAAGTACTTTTTTAGAATTGTATAATGTTAGCATGCCCAGAGGGGTTGGGCAGCCAGTTGACCTTGGACCCATTAGAGTTTTTTTTCTCCTTACAGAGGAGTTTTTGATTCCTCTCTGTTGTCTTCTGGGTTTTCTTTTTCTCTTTTTGTGTTGTAATGTTATCTATTTTCACGCTGCTTTGTTAAGTGCCTTGGGGCAACCTTGTTGTGAAAGGCGCTATATAAAAATAAATTAAATTGAATTGACAGTCTGAATTGCAGTGTAGCTGCACTGAAGCCATTGCTGAAAAGAGGAACAAAAACAAAAAGGCTGAAGCAAAGGTTTCGGAGCAGCTCCGTGCCCATTGACATGTATCTGGACCCATGGACTATTTTGTGTGTGTTCATCTTACATTTCTTGAAAATGTTTAGATTGGTGGCAGTCTGTACAATAGAGTAGGCTTTAGCAGCTAAAGCTTTGATATCCGTGCTCTTGTCATGTGAGTTGTACTTCTCGTACCCCATGTTTAAAATTCTACAGTGATATCAGTTTTGTAGGCCTTGAAGCAGTGTGGAACTGTTGCTGTCTACGTCATGTCCCCGGAGAACTTACCGCCCTTAATCAACTTCTTCACATTCCAGTGCAGCTTCCAATTAACTAATCAGACACACCTTCTTCCACCGGCCTACTTAAACCAACCTGACCCACCACTCCTTGCTCAGTTTTGGGTTTTTACCTAGCTAGAGCTGTATTGTTCCCTGTTTAACAAGATTTCTAGGTTTTTGGTTCTGACCCCTGGCTTTGTCTCTGACTTCTTCTGGATCTTGACTTGGTTATTGTGGATTTAGTGGTTTTTGACCCTGGCCTGACCTCCTGACCCATGTTTTTGGATAAAGTCCTGCTGGTACCTTTGAGTTCAGAGGATTCTGCTTAGGGTCCTTCTTCCACATTGTAACAGGTGGCATTGTAGCACGCCAGTATAGTACTGTATTAGTTAACATTTTGGTTTTATACAAAACCTGTTTGTTAATAATGTGTTATTTATGCTATTGACCCACTTCCCAAAATTATTTTCCAGTACTGTGTATTGTTTCAAACATACTGTATTCATACAATGTGTGTACAGTATACAGCGTGTAGAGTATACAGTAATTTAAAAAAAAAAATTGAATTGCATACATTTTCTGCAGAAACACACCTTGATCACTTTTTGCCACATTGAAAGCTGATTTTATTTGGGTTTTATTTCTTTTCAGGGAGGATATTGTTAACAGTCTTGCATCTTAAATGCAATTTAATGCATTTTTATTCTGCTTTGATTCCATCAACATGTAACACCTCTCACAAAAGATAGATATGTGTTGTTTTTGCTGAGTGAGCTGTGAAACAATTCCTCTGGCAACAAGAAAGGACTTAAATGGCTCTTACCTCTGAGGTAGGTATCGACTGATTCCGAGGTGGTCTGGGATGAGTCATTCCCTCAGCTGATGTGGTGTTGTCTGTTTGCACAGTCATGCTGCCATCGATAGTGCTGAACAAGGCGGGCGTCCAGCCCTTCCAGAGGGGCTTCTTCTGTGATGATGACAGCATCAAGTACAGCTTTAAGAGAAGCACCATACCTTCTCCGGTGCTGCTGGCAGCGGGCATGATTCTGCCAGTCGCTTCTGTAAGTTTTCAACAGTGCAGCTAATTTGGACAAATGGGCACGGATGTTTTGCCTGTTATGGAAACAACATGGAATAGCCTTTTGACTTAAAAGTCAAAGGCATTGTTAGATTAACATTAAATTGGCGATTCCTGTTTTCCTGAATGTCTTAAGTATCACATTTGAGCAAATTTAGCAGCTTCCAAATGAAAAAATGTCTGGCAGATTAGAAGACATTGAGGAGGTGGGGGTGCGCAAAACATTCTTGTCCCAGTTGCTCCTGATGGTTGTGCTGTTTTTTCTGTGGTCCTGTGTTTTGTCCTTGTTACTGATGGAACTTTGTTCTTGTGTCTCCTCTTCCACTTGTCTTGCTAGCTGGCCTGCCCTTCCTGATTATTGAAACTAGCACTATCACGCCATACCACCGAGGGTTTTACTGCGACGACGAGTCTATCAAGTACCCGTACAAAAACGGAGACACCATAAGTGATGCTGTGCTTTGTGCCGCCGGCATTCTTATTGCCATCCTTTCTGTAAGTCTTTTTCTCAATGTATTTCACAGCTTTTTGTTTCAAAATCTGCACTATCCTTTGTCTTTTCTGCACAAGGGAATGCGCAAAACAATCCCAATTTAAAGTAAATTGAGCAACAATGCTCAGGAGCTCCAATTTCAGATTTTTTAAAAAAATGAGATACGTTGTTTCAGAGACAAAAGTGGGTAAAACAGAAATGGCATTGCCCATCCTGTATGCTCTACTGGAAAGTCCTCTCCATGGACTCAAGAGAAATCTTAACGTCAAATGCAGCAATAAAGCACAGCCCAGAATTCTAAGTCAGTTTTTAGAAATGTTTCTTGAGAAAGCAGAGCAGGTAAAAACCAGAATACAAATTTTACATTCTGCAGAAAACAAAATTAACAATATTTCAACTTCATTTAAAAAAAAAAAAGTTAATGAAAAAGTGACCTTAAGTGTTTTCTAGTTTTCAGGGTGGTGGGGACAAGCTTTGCTTGTGCTTTTGGCTTTTCATTTGTTTTGTATTTGGTGTTGTGTGTGCTTGACCTGCATGCATCCGCTAATGAATTCCTTTCCTGTTTCCTTTTGTGGAACATATGAAGTACTCGCAACATACCTCCTCTGCCATTTAGCACACCCACAAATGACTAGTAGTTTTGCGCATGTGTAGATCCACTGCTTTATAAAAGGTAATATTCATACTTTTGTTGGATTTTTGACAAAGCTAGCTGATTATTTAAATTAAAAAAAACAACATTTTTGTTGTAACCTTTTTCATCTGTAAGGCCTCATATATGTTTAACCCAAGTGATGGATACATCAAGCTAATTTTAAACAGCCTTGTATTGACAGATGTAGTACAAGACCCTGCAATTTATAAACTCTAAAACTGATTTGTGATATTTGTTTTCCAAATGTATCTTTTTATTAAAAATATAATATGCAGGAAAATCTGTGCAGAATTTATCCTAGGCAGTCCTTTGAAATTGAGTACTTTCAGGTTTGGAAATCACAACATTCTTTATAATGTTTAAATAGTGGAAACCCATAGATTTTAGAATGGCATTATACATTTGTTGTTGAGAAGTTATCTTATGTGGGAATTGTTTGGTTCTAAATTTTGTGATACAGGACTGTGGTTTTATGGGTTTCATGGCAAGGGAGCTAGAAAGGCTGTATAATTATGGTCAATGTATCGGATGTAACTAGGATAGTACTTGTTTGATGGACATGAAACAAACCGTATAAATTAAAAGCAAGAACATATACTTGGAGATACTTATCAAATGTTTTGGGTTTCATATGGATTGGCCAAGAAAAATGTCACCTTGGCTATTTAGTGGTGTTAAGCTGTGGGCTGGTGATTGAGTAAAAGCCTTGCAGGGTTTTTATGGAATCTGCATAAATGTAAAGACACTTCTGACCAAATGCTTTAAAGAAGTGTGTGCCTGAACACTAAAAGTCCTATATTCACTTTATTATAAATAATGTTCTTTAACTTCTAGTCCTCACTCAGAAAGGTACATGATAGAGCTCTTGTTTTACTTTTTAACAAAACCGATCAGTAGTAGTTAGATAAAGTAAAATCTCCCACCGATTCCAGCCATCCATATGCGACCCTGTAGGCCCACAAGGTTTCTATGGTGAATAATCTGTCATTAGTATGGGTTTCAAGCAAATGAAAACAAACATATCTCCAAATTGAAAGTTCTGATGCAGCCTCCTGCTGCTCATTTGGGGAAAACTGTCTACTCAGTGCTTCTTTTATTAAAAACAGGAATTCAGGGAGCTTGTTTTGTTCTGCTCAGAGCTCTTACTCTTGAGGCTCACAAGCCAGCTCTGGGAACAGCTGCAGTAGGTTAAAAGTCGCCCTTGTGCTGTGTTATCGCAGTCCCTTGGTACTCTTTCTATATGAGGTTTTGTTAATGCACAGCTGTCTCTCTGCCAGTGAGCGGCACCACTTACCTGTACCAGTCTAATGGTGGCCACACAGATTTAGAGAGCTGAAAAAAATGACATGAGACAGGATTAAAAATCCAATTTTGCCAACTTTGGAGTGTAGTATGCTCAATTCTAGGAATCTTTTTCATTGGAAGTAAAAGCAGGAAAACCTGCAGAAAGGGTCCTAGTATACAGTACTGCTTTGTTAGGGTTTGTCTGTCCCTAAGGTAATATTCCAAGTGATATCTCTGATTGGCACTTACAGTAGTTGTTCAGAACAGGGCTAAGATTGGTTAAGGGTCTTATTTGTGTCTTTTGCTTAAACAGTGTTGCTCAGTGTTCGTGCTGTTGCAAATCCTGCTTGGGCTACATCACATTAGCCGATTATGAAAACTGATATTTTGACTTCTTGAACTAGTAATAGTTAGATTTTTCACTCCTACAGCAGATATTCAGTTAAACTTTCCTATTTCTCTCTCTCTCCCGTTCTGTACATTGAGATGCCCACTGTTTAGTGTCTCATTTAAAAGCCAGTAGTGATTTATGATTATACATGTCGAGTGGCGCATTGTGTATTTGAAAGCATTCAATGAACCTTTACTGCCTTTTATGACTGGCAGTATCTCTCGGATATATACCCAGCAATATATACCCTTTATCCTCTAGTTCTGGTATCAGTCCTAAACTGGTTTCTTCTCTCAGATATAATTTTAAATTTGATATTTTTATGTTCTCCAAACTACCAGCTAATCTTTGACACAAAGCACCCTGTGTTTTAAGAAGCATACATTTATTAACTTCCATTTGCTGTCTTCATGTAACTGTAGTATAGAAGAGTTTCAATAAGGGCAGGGCAGGCCATTGTCATATGTCTTTGTTTGCATGTTTCTCAATGCGCGAGCTTCCATTGTGTTCATCTACATAAACCTCCATGAATGCCGCCTTTAAAAGCATTTGAGAGTGTTAATCAAAACAGAAGTGCCTTCAGCTATAGCCCTTTGCAAACCTCTCTTTTTAGATCATCACTGGGGAGTGCTACAGGATTCACTACCTGAATGAGGGATCCAAGTCCTTCATCAGTAACCCCTATGTTTCCACCCTCTACAAGCAAGTGGGGGTCTTCATCTTCGGCTGTGCTGTCAGCCAGTCCTTCACCGACATTGCCAAAGTGTCTGTGGGTCGCATGCGTCCTCACTTCCTTGCTGTGTGCGAGCCGGATTTTTCTCGTATTAACTGCTCCGATGGGTACATCACTGACTACTTCTGCAAAGGAGAAGAGAGCCGGGTACAGGAAGCAAGGTGGGATCTGATGCAGTCGTACATGCCATGACTGTCTATTATGAAATTGCAGCAAATAATTACATACACAATCTTGATGATTTGTTAAAGGAAGAAAAATTGTATTTTTTATGCTATATCTAGCAATATCATATTTTAAGTGAATAGCAAAAAAGATTCCACCATTTTAAGAGAGCTTAAATAATGAGCTCTATACACCACATTTAAAAGGAATCAACTCAAACGGTTTCCATCAAATAAAGTCACACTTTATTTTTTTTAATTTTCATTTTTGTTTTCTTCCAGGAAATCCTTCTTCTCTGGCCATGCCTCCTTCTCCATGTATACCATGCTGTATTTGGCAGTGAGTATCTCTGCTTTTTCACACAGCCACTTCACTTTTAATCTTTTAATTCTTCTAAACTTCTGTCTGGCGTCTTGCTGTAGCACTTAGATCCATGGACTGCTTATTGCTGTAAAAGTGCTTAATGCACCTATATCAGTTAGTGAAAGCATTTATGCACCTTCTGTTTGTTTTTCTAATTTATATGTGAGGGCAATAGGAAATGTGTATGTTTTAGACAGGTCTCAAGAGGATCACACATACAACATTGCAATAAACAAAGTACATTACCTAGCTTTGTGAAAGAGAGTCAGGTACACAGATATTAACTGAGCTTTAGTTCAGTTAACGCTCATGAGGGGTAAATTTAAAATTATAAGTCATCTGTTCAGAATAGTTTATAGACTACGTATTAACTGTTTTTCATTTGAGTGTTCTAATTGAAGAGTAGTCTTGCTTTAGCTCCAGCATGAAATTAATTGCTAGACATTTTGACAGATCACAGATTGGAGTGTAATTGATTACTAAATTTATTTGAAAATAAATGTAATGTAGTTAGTGTAGCAGTAGTTGAAAATTCCTGCTAATGTGCTTTACCTGTCCTGCAGGCTTTCGTGATTGCTCTTTGACTTTACTTTTAACTGTCTGGTATTAAGAATTCAATACTTCTAAGATCTAAAAAATTGGTTCTGGGTTGCCTGAGCAAATTTTATTAACTCCATTTTATTTAATATTATTCTAACTTTAGAAATGCAGGTTAGAGTCATTGGAAATTCCTCCTTCAGGTCACAGTTTAAATATATTTTCTTCTCTCACTGTTATTCTCACAAGACACCCTCATCTGGATTCTGGTGTTGCTGCTGTGATAGAGAGGATGTTTGAAAGCAGTTGTGGCCAGCTGTCTATTCTAAATACTGATTGTAGAGAAGAGCATTAAATGTGAACTATTAGCTAACCCAATACTAAAAGAAAGCATGTTGCCATGGAAACATGAAGCCTATCTCAAAAGCACAGACTGTAAAGCACAACTATACAATAGATGGCACATCAGTCCATTTCAGAAATCACATAATTTTTGGAAGGAGAGAGAAAACGGGTAGAACTGCAGTCCAGAATCAAACCCAAGACCCAGGGGCTGTGAGGCAGCAGTGCTAGCCACTATTAGTGTAATTAGTTTAATAATCAAACTTCTGCAGCTAGGAATACCATCTTATATTAATGATATGAGGGGTTTTAAGTTATATTATAACTATTATATATGATAAGAATATGTAATTTGTATGTTAAGTTATAGTGTACTTAACGCTATCCAGACAAGCAATCTCATTTGGTAGGCATAAAATGATTAAAAGCAACAGCATTGTAACACTGTAAAGAGCTTTTGTGGATACATTTAGACCACTTTGACTGAAAGGATAAAAGGAACAGGTTATTGTTAGGGTCAAAGAAGGCTATTAAAACTCACAAAGAAAAATTATCTCCTCAAATATGTGATTTACAAGTTCCTCCCAAGAAAATAGGTCACTACTCCCTTAGCGCCTTTCTGGCTGAAACATTTCAAGCCTGTAATACCTCAGAACTCTGTCTTTGCTGGGTTTTTTACAAACCCATTTTCTGGCTTAGGAATGTAAGCTTTTTCTTTGAGGACAGGACTTAACTTTGTGGAAATTAACCATTGTTTCCAAGCAGGCCCTTTACAATGCTGATTGTAGACTCCAGGGTAATTTATACCATAAAGGTATTATTATTCTCTTGGTGCCTGTTGATGGGCTTTCTGTTGTCAGCAGTAGCTGGGGTCTTGGCAGATGGAGCAAGATGCTCACATCCATTTGGACTCTGAATGGTAAAAGCTAAGTAGTCTGTAACTGCTCCAAACTGGTGCCGTGATCAACAGATAGAATCTGCTCATCCTTAAATTCTGTTTCTGCAGCTCTTAATCAGTGTTAAGAAATTTGTTTTCTTTATTCTTTGCTCCCAGACAGGACTTTTCCTCCTTCAGTGAAGATGGAGGAAGGTTTTGAAACCTGCCTAGAGTAGTTGACAAGTCTTTTTAGGGGGCTCAGTGTGAATGAACATATTGTGAATCAAAGCTTTCAAGCAGAACGTCAAGCCTCCTCTTGTTGCACTCTGCTTTACTTTGAAGGCAGGCTTCCACTTCAGTTCCTCCTGTAAAGATGCTTTGTAGTTTCATTTCCAAGTTGAGAGTCTTACTTTCCACTGAATTATTAAGCATAATCCTCTTTGATGAAAAGTCTGGTCCCTCCCTCTTTTTTGTTCTTTAGTTGAAAAGCTTATACTAGAACAAATGAAGTAAGACATTATTCCAATAAATGCAGATGTCCTCTAAAGCAGACACTTTTTTATGCAGGCCCATGTTACGTCTATGGGAATCCCCTTACTTATTACTTTAAATAAGGGTTTACAGTAACCATGATAAGAGTGATGTCACCTCGCTGTGGTAAGTGAGAAATGTATAATGGGTATTTCCCAGCCCTCGAGTAACCTCCAGACAGACAGTTCACCATTACAGCAGATGTCTTTTTGGTTTGGCTGTGGTGTCTTGAAAGTGCCTTGACCACATAGTGATATGTGAGCCTTTGCCAGTCTTTCCAAATAGCTGTTTGGAGGGAGAAGCTTAATATATTGAATAACAAGGCAGTGAAGTGCTTCACATGCAGAAAAAAGAAAAGCAGTGTAACAAACAGAAAAGCAGAGCAGCTTAGAAATAAAGAATAAGTTCACCATATGGATGTTCCCTTGTTTGTCGTGTCCTCATCTGTGGTAGTCTGTTCCTGTAAGAGCTTGGAAGCATAACTGTTGTGGGCTTGCTTAACAATTGAATGGTGGTGTTCTATTTCAAAACTGTAGCCCATACAGATGGCAGCTCAGATTGAAGTGCTTTCTTAGTTGGATAACTGAGGGAATGCCAATCTCAAGGTGTGGTTAGGTGTAAGGTTATCCATGTTACCTTACCTGTAGCAATTAATGTTGTCTTTGACCTAACTGGATGAATGTTTTCTAAAATGCAGAAAAAGATATATGAGGTATGGGCTGTTAAACACCAGTGTGCTTCTATCCCAATGGAGTCTAAGGTCTTATTTCTTCAATATTAGCACTGCAGTCAGTTATCTTGTGGCACAACAGCTTAAGTGGACTGTCTGAAAAAGAAAAGATACATAAGACTTGAGCTTCAGTATTCACAGAAGCTACAGTTTTTCAGTTTTTTTCAGACATGGTTTTGTGATCTCTGGAAAAGCGGAAGCCTCTCTACAGATTTTTGAAGAAGTCATGCAGGCACTTCTGTTTGCAAGGTGTGAAAAGTATTTTCTTGTGTCTTAAATAGACAGAGAACAAAGCAGTTTTCTGTCCACATCAATCTACAGAATCATCTGTGGAGGATGAAGGAGAGTAGGACTGGAGCTGGGTGTGGAGTCATAGTAGAACACTTTGTACACTACCTGAAGCTGTTGAGATAGGCTGAAGGAGATGGCACACTTTGCATTAATATGATACTATTTAGTGCAGTTTCAGAGAGTGCCTTTTGAAAAGATTTATGGAAACATTTTTGTTATCAGCAGCTAAATGCCAGGCTGTGTTGCTCCCCCTCTGAGTGTATGCAAAGAGAAGCACACACTCGGTGAAGTGACTGAAAAATCAACAGAACATTACTGTGTTGTGAAGGATGTAGGGTTGCCAGAGTGCAAAACAATTCCATAGTGACTGATATTTCAGAAATGTCCACTTCACACATAGGGCTGTCTCTATAAAAAAAGAGCAACGTTTGTACAGCCTATACTTTTTTTGCTGTGGCCATTTGTTTTTGCAAGAAGCGTGACAGATGTTGAAGATTTATGTACCCAGTTTATAATGGTTTTAGTTTATGAATGGTAAATGCAGTTCTAAGCAGCATAGTACTGTACCTAGTAAGCTGCAAAGCAGGGTGGTTTTAGAATTCGGTCATATGCAGTTTTTGATCACATATACATAAGAATATACTTGATATACATATATATAAGTGTTCAAACCAGAGCAACAAAAGCGCGATCAATTATTATTTCTTGACATTTGTCGTTTCTCTCCCTAGTCTATGCAAACAAGCAATATTGATACATTGTTTCTGAACATGTTCATTGTGAGGAAAATAACCATTCCAGTTACTCAGCTAGATTTCAATTTGTTCAAGTAAAAAGAGGCAGTGGGTGCTACACACTTCACTGCAGGTTGCAGGCATGATTGTCATCTTTTTGCTCTGTTTGTCCCTGTAATAGTAATGACTACAGTCGGGCAGCGAGGGAGATGGAGGTAATCACATAACTGATTGTGCCTGCAATGGGGCTTTTTGTTCTTCTTTTGACAGCACACCATAGTCACATACGGTCGGCAATGGACTTTTAAGTAGATTGATGGCAAAGATCAACCAAGAAAACCAAGTCTTGGTTAAATCCCTTTAGCTAAGGAGCTCAGCCGATTCCTAATACACCTAAGAATAAATGTATTTGATAGCAAAATATTTAATTTATTAAATATTGTGGAATTTAAGTCAGATGAATAACTGATCTGGTCTGTTTTTTTAAAGGTTATCTTTGCTCATCGAATAGATTATTTGTCTATTTTTCTTTTAAAAAGCAATATTAATATCAAATTCAGCTTTTCTCTGTGCATCATCTTAAAGCTCACTTCAAACTCAGCCAAGTGAGTCACACAAATATTGCTCAAATCAAAGCTCTACAACCTCATTGTGTTTGGGTTGCGCAACATTGATTTTCAGATGTAATGTGAATTTGAGGATTGTTTTTCTCCTTTTTTCTATGGGAATTTCAGTAACATAATTGTCTTTGGAGCGAGTGTACCCGTAATCATAACCTAAGTTGTGAGACAATTTAAACTAGGACACTCTGATGAAAGAAGCTGCTTTTATATGATGCCAGCTCGAACTTTAATACATGGAGGCTTGATTTATGGATTGGAGCGTAAATTGTGGTTACACATGAGACATTTAGAGACGTCCTTCTGTCCAGCTGAGCTGTCCTTGAGCAGGGAGACATCATCATGTACACTATAATGATAAGTAAACCATCATTGATAGAGAAGATTTTGAGATCTAGAAAAAATAGATTTTTTTAAAGTGGCCTACTTGGAAAAGGCAGATGGAGGAGGGAATATAAGAATACATTTGTAGACAATGATTAAGTGAACAGTAATATTAATTTTCTTTGTATTCCAACCAGATGCTACCCTGAATCATTTCAAGTCTGGGAGCTTAGGCTACTGTGGTTCCAGCATGCTGGCACAAGTTTTATATTCAGTAAACTCATTTACATTGCACAACTGTCATGTTTACTGATTACAAGCATGCTGAAGGTGATTTGGAATAACACCGCTAAATCAGCCACAGAATCTTTTAAAATTGATTAAACCTTTTTTTTTCTGTTAGGGAACATTTATGGATATGGTTTGAGTTAACAAATTATAGTTGTCTCCTTGTGTATTCCAGGAATTTAGTCTTGCTCTCAGTTTAAAAGAAATTAGCTGGCATCCTAAGTTTTGTCTGCACTGTAGTCTGTACTTACTTTCCCGGACAGAGGTGGAAGTTCCCTTATAGAACTGTAAACAAACGAGTATCATTAGGTTTCTTGGGAAAACGAGAAGTTATCAGATCCTCATCTGACGTCACTAGGGGTTGAGTTCTGTGGGATTGCCTTGTGTCTCTGTCCCCACATTGTGCTGACAAAAGGATTGTCATTATATGGTTTTATTTCTCTTTTTTATAGTGGGTTTATTACACAGCTGTATATATTATGGAACAAGTAATAGGTTTATTCCATGCTGGAAAGAGAAGAAAGAAAATACAAACGTTTCGGCCGTGGAGCCTTCTTCAGGTTTTTTCTTCTTTCTTCTCTTTTCAGCATGGAATAAACCTATTACTTGTTCCTTTGCAGCCTACGCATGCTGACCCAGCTACCCATCTGTATATATTATGTACAATTCTTCATCGAAACAATGGTAACAATATCTCTCCTGTATCCTTTGCTCCAGGCTTGTTGCTTTAAGCAAAGATTGTGTGCATCTTCACGGAAACAAAATATTGAACTGTTTCTTTTTGCTGTTAAGTAAATGGTCATTATTTAAAACACTAGGCATTTGAATTGGATTAAGCATACCTAGTTTACTAAGTCTATCCAGTATATTTAATACATAAAAACAGAACACTCTTTCCAGGTACAAAAGGTATGTACTTGGATAACAGTAGAATACAGGTTAGTAGCAGACTATAGACTGTACCTCGGAACACTGAGATTAGAACTTTGAGTTGTGAATTTTCCCTGCATGTCTTTGATGTTTGCACTACAAACTTTGTATGCTTACTTCCTCTTTACTGTGCATTCTGCATTCAGTCCATTATGTGAAGTATTTTGTATATGTTTGCGCTTTTCAAAATTCACTCTCTGGACCTGTGGATATTGCTGTGTTCAAATACCCTGTACATGTTCTTCCCATCTCCCTGACCCACTTGTCTGTGTGTTGCAAATGTCTTGTAGTTCTATCTCCAGTCTCGGTTCACCTGGAGAGGTGCTCGCCTTCTGCGTCCTCTGCTGCAGTTCACCTTGATTATGATGGCATTCTACACTGGCCTGTCCCGGGTCTCCGACCACAAGCACCATCCCACCGATGTCCTGGCAGGGTTTGTGCAAGGCGCCCTGGTGGCTTACTGCATAGTGAGTACTTAGATTCATTAAGTACAGCCTCATCAGTTTCACTCCCACACTGTGCATTTGTGCAGATGACTCACTTCATAGAGATTTGCACTAGCACCACAAAAGATCCCTCTCAGACCCAGTCTTTGGACTTTGGCACAAATTTGTCCCTATTCAAGTTGATGGTAGAGACATGTTACTTTCATGGGAAATAGACTCTTAACTACAAACTATTTTGGTCTGCATATAAATGAAATATGAGTCCTCAGAGATGTAAGACTTCAGTGAGAAGCTATGTCACTTTTTTAATAGAATAAAAGAACATTATGTTACCAATTGCTTAATGACTGAAGCTGAGAATTAACCATAAAATATACTGGCATCAACTCGAGAGTCTTTGTTGTCCATCGAATCTTAAATTCAACTGAGTTTAGAAAATATAGTTTGTAATAATAAGCTACAGATTGCTTGAAAAAAATTTGGAATAAATGAGGAACACTCAAAAAATCTCAACAGTGTCCATTTGCAGAATGTGCAGGTTGTATAATGAAAGTTCCTCCAGCCACTGCCATAATGCAAACTCTGCTGTCACTAAGGGCAACCTGTTAAAATAATACAGATTCTACTGTGTGTGAAGTACAAAAAAAGCCATTAGTGTTTTAGTCCTTGTCTCCTCTGTTGTTTTGATTGTTTCACTTTACAATTTCAGTGAGTTTGCTTAAGGTATTAGGGGGGTCTTTTTTAAGCCCAGACCGTAAACAAGCTCAGCTGCAGTTCACAGAGGCCCACTTTTCTCTTGGGGGGTAGGCAAAACAATTACGAAAATTGTTTGCTTCATACTAAGTGCTTTCATAGAGTTCTATAGACATCTCCCTGTATGGCAGCCAAACTTGGCACAGCCACTGTCACTGTCAGGATGTTTTCTGAGGGCTCTTGGCCGCCACAAAACCTTGGGCTCTGATACTGGGTACACAAGAATCTGGAGGGATGTCTTTCATCAATGAAATCGCTGCCGACAGGGTCCTTTCTCTGTATCGGTGAAAGACCTTGTAGCTCAGTTGTGTGCTTTAGAAAGGTTGGTACTGCTTCTGAATGGTATTTAGGCGAGTGTCATATGTGCCAAACAACTTGGCAGTTATGGTCTCAGAAGCATAGACTTTTAATGCAGGAATGTGTGGTGCCATGGTAAGGGCTCATTACTGACATATTTGAATCTAATATTTTAATGTGATCCAAAACTCAGTCTCCTAAATATTTATGTTCCCGTGTCCTTTAATGACCACTTGAAGAAGTGATGCCAGACATTTCATACAATTTTAAACATCAGCCAGAGAGGGCTCTTTCGAGTGGCAGTACACAGATTTGTTTCTTTTCAAGCTTGGTGATAAACATGTTATTAATGTTCTTTCACTAAGCTGCTGTAATTACAGGGCTCTGTAATATTGTTTTGGTAAATTGTTTCCTTTAGTTTAAGATTTTATGAAGTTCTTGGGTGACTGTAACTACTTCTTTACTACAGTGTTTGTCACACTGTATGCAGAAGTGCCTTCTTTAGGAATAAATAAAGGAGGGCAGCGGAAGGACAGAATTGCCAGTGGAGTGACAACATTCTACTAGGCTAGGTTTGGCAGTGGATTCCAGTGGTTGTATCATAAATTTACTTTCTGTTTTATCTGGTCCTCCATTCCCATTGACCCAGTTAACTACACACTATAACACTTACTGTGTGCAATTAAAATATATTTAATAACTGATGATCAGAAGTGGTCTTTGGAGGAATTGCTGTTGGAGAAAGGAAACACCAGTCTCAAAACTGATCATACTTGGACTATGATCATGCCAGATCTTTAAAATAATCAGTAGATTGGGATTATTCCTCACCTAAAAAAGTGGACCTTGTTGTTTTTGCTAATGATTATGCTGATTGCATAGCTCTTTGTGGTAAAATTCCCCTTCATCAGCCTAGTAGATAACATAGGCAGTCCCATTTTTCTGTTTATCATCCATTATTGTGTATTCCAACCCCAAAACTTCAATTCTTTCTCCAGAGCTTGATCCCTTATTTTATGGTCTCTACTGCCTTGTGCATAAAAAAAAACTCACATTCTCAATAATTAAAGTAATTAAGAAATGAGGCTTTAGCAAAAGTGTAGTATTTAATATAGTCATCAAAAAACATGGAAGACAAGTTAAATTGTATCATAATCTAAGGGTATGGAGCTCCTGTCCTGTTGGGCCAATTAGTCCATTTAATATAGTGTCTGTGAAGATTTGTGAACTTAAACCATTCTGCTGGTAAATGTATAAGCTTCTTCTTATGGCACTATTTTCAAGACCTGCAACTTAAGTAAAGCTAATGGCAGCTTAGTGAAGTAAGGCATTCTTTCAGGACTTTTTTTTACGTTACAAAGGGTTCATATATTTTTGGTCGTACCTGCATGTTTTCTGCAGTGAATGGCATCTTTTTCATAGATTCTGGGCAGATGGCACTTTGTTCATAACATGGAGGGGCAGAGGTGGACAGGGACTGAGCTAGCCATGAATGGCTTTTCCTGCAGCTCCCTGCACAAGGCCACTGGCAAGGAAACAGCTATGAGATAATGGTCTGAAGCTTCTCTTCCTTTGTCTTAATACTAAAGGATTTAGCTTTTAGCAAGAAAATCCAGACCTTGTATATCCCATAATTCCTTAGGAGGGCAAGGGTCATTGTCAATATCCTGCGCTAAGTAAGGGTTTCTCCCAAGATCAGACTGCCAGTTAAGCACTTTAAGGCTTGGTATGTTAGAGAAAAGGGTGCCCTTAAGATATCCTATCTGTAGTGCTTGAATGATTACAAGCCTCTCAATCAGACTACCTTTTTTCACTACAGACAATTGATTCACAATGCAAACAATAGACTCCAGCAGTATGTCAGGGGCTATTACTGAAACAAATGTTTATAATCATTTTAAGATCACTCACACTTAATTTGACCCTTCACATATTTCACATTTGCCTTCTCTGTCCTAATCCACCAGTGTTTCAGGAGAGTGTTGCTTTCACTGTACTTCCTCGTTATAAAATTGACTGTTTACAAGACCTTGCATACTGTTGATGGTTGCATGGGGCAAAAGCAGATTCATTCAACGAAGAGAACCACTGTGGGTTTCTCATGTTCTTCTCTCAAGTGTGAAATTGAAGAGCCCAGAAAGGGAGAAAGACAGACAGCCCTGTCAGTTATGGTTGACTCGGAAGAATAACACAGAAAATGCTAATGCCGAAAGTTTTTAACTTGAGATCCCTTAACTTGGCAGCTCTGATGAGCATTTTTCAATCATGGGAGGTTTTCGTTTACCATATTGAAAGCATTATCTGAGATGTTTAAATATTTTTAAATGTCTATTTTCTTCATCTTCATTAAGGGAGGCAGACTTGTAAGCTCACTTTATCTTACTGGAGTTTTCACAAGTGTCCTAAATTCCCATTCCTTAAACTCAGGTTCCCTTTTTGACACTTTTAACTAAAACCAAACAGGGATTTAGAGCCAGTCATTCCCATTGTAATTTCCTGCCTGACTCAACCATTTTGTGAGTCAGATGCCACAAAACCTGGTTTTTAAAGGGTTCCATCTGTAAGCCATTCCTCATCTAACTCTGATGTTCATCAGCAGGAGACTTTTTTTGGGTTCACAAAACACTGCCATACATTAGTTCTCCTCCCTTCATTAGTGACAGTGTACATAAAAAATTGAATGGTCTGTGAGTGTTGGAGATCCTGCTTCTCGGTGAAACATTAAACTTCATTGTTAAAATCTGAGTTTTCTCACAGAAAAAAGTGCTCTTCAATTCCAATGTTTACATATTATGGATAAAAATCACTTCTCCAATACGTTCTGTATAATCAGTACCTTATTAAATTATGGTAACAGTACAGTAACAGTACAGTACACCCACCAAATGCTTAATACAAAGAAAGTAGAGTTCTTGAAAACATAAGCCCTCTGTTAAGTGTAGGATTTATGATTTGAATACTGAACTCAAACAAATTAAATGCAGCATAGATCCATTTTTTTCTTAGACATGTAGCTGCTCATTATTAAATCACAGACATTAAACTATATTGACAGAGCAGTTTTGGAGCAACAGCCTTTGCTAAGATACTGTCTCATCCACCTCCATTCCATGACTTTCTTCTGGAATTGCTCCAGCAGGATTGCTGTGGCTCTGCAGTGAGATGAGGAGCTCCAACTCGGATTGTTTTTGCTGTCAGTGCAGTCCCAATACAGTGGGCTTCCTTGAAGGAAGGGGACAACTTTAATTTTTTCCCCATAGGGACACAGCAAATCCTACAACAATAAATATTATTTGACAGCTGCAGTTGTAAGGCCTATAGTGTATAAGGCCTACTGTATATAGCCAGGCTGTCATGTGATTACACGGGAGCTCATCATATCCTGAGTTACAGAAGACATTATTCTACAGCAATTTAGAGAAATAATTAGCAGAAATTAAGGACTAAATTGCTCTCTGGTTGGAGGTTTGGTGATGATTCATATACAAATGCCTCTCTTGAAGCTGGAATGGAGGCCCCTCTTAGTCATTTCATAATGAGAAGACCTAATTTTGTTCCTAATGGCATTACGTAAGGGTGGAAAAGGTCACCAGGAATATAGCATGACTTAATCATGGTCTCCAAGCATTTGTTTCAGATTCCTATCTAAGAGAAAAAAATGCTTATATTAAAGCTGTTATTGTATGTAAAAAAAACTACTTTTTCAATTTCTGTGGATATAGAACAGTAGTTCTCTTTGTCAGGCAGTTGGTAGGAATGTTACGAAGTTGTGGCAGAATATCAGAAAAGGAAGAATCGAAATACACAGCATGCAGGATAGTGTCTTAGAGTGCCCTGACAGCTGGCTTCTCAGTAGCAGGGGCTGTTCATGGATATGTCCAGCACAGTCTTCTGTTCAGAACAGGAAAGATAATTCCTTTTTTAGCTTTCACTGGTGACTGGCGAGGGTCGTGACTTGCCATAGTGTGTAGCTATGAAACAGGAAACATGACGGGCAGATTTATGCCTACACTTCATTTTGACAAAAATAGTTATTGTTTCCTCTCTGCTTTCTTGCATTGTAAACTATTCACTCCAGGCATGCAGAATCGACAGGCCTATCAATCCAGACTGAAATACATTTCAGCTGTTATCAGCAGCTGAGCAGCACCATGGATCTAGAGAGGTTACGCTGCCCAGTCTCCCACACGTCCTTTGTGACCTTCTCAGGGTCCCTGTAGAGCGTCAGCTTTCTGTCTTCAGCTCTTTTGTCAGTCTTTGATAAGTTTCCTTTCATGAAAAAGATGTAACCTTTCACACACAAAAACTAGTCGCTGAGCTTCTTCTGATGTTCTTATATTCATGTATCACAGATGACAAAAATCTGCAAAGATTAAAAATGCATAAATCTAAATAATTTACATACTTTATGCACCTAATATGCACATTTAAGTATTTTATTATAGTGCATTGCTTAGAATGTTTTGAATGCTGTATGATATATTTTAGCATATGTAGAGACTTGTGTTGTAGAATGCTAATGTTGTATATAAAGACATTACATTGTGTTGAAGACCAAAATATTACATATATTATGTAAGTTGATGGCCTTTACTGTTCAATAATTGATTTTTCTGGAAGGCATTTAATATCCATAGTGCCAGTCCCATAGATTTAAACAGGGAAAGAGCTAGGACACACCCTATTAGGATATGTGGGTGGGTCCAAACTGAAGTGTCACCTGGGACTCTTTCTGAAAGCTGGCTCAAGCGTGTACAAAGCTGAGAAGTAAGGTATTGTGGGTTAGTGCTGGGCGATAATTCGATAACGATAATTATCGCAATACAGTTTTCCTCGATTATAACTTTAACAAAAGTTCGATAAATGTTCGATATATATGTTTATGCTCTGCGCATGATATGCACATGTGCACAAAATACTGCGCGAGTGCGCGGGCGTGTTGGAGACCAGGCAGCTGACGTGGTGTCGTTTACCCACACGGTGGTTGCTGACAGGATTGTAGTTTGAGTTGAGAAATGAGCGACACTGAAGCACATGGAGTTATAATGGGTAATTTGGAGATATTTTGGCTTTTTACGATCAGACATAAAACAGAGACTTTGCAGTCTGTCTGAGCCATCGTCTATGCGTGTTTTATCACACTGCAGTATTTAATTTTTCTATTAAGATATTTATTTTGTACATTTTACTCATGCATATTTTGACATAAAAAGACTTGAATACTCTCTACCTTTGTTTAATGTTTCTTCTGTTTGGCAAGTGTTTGTTGTGTTCTTAAAATAAAGATTTGCTTAATTTATCAATTAATTTTCACTCAGGAGAAAAAATCTGCCTTTAAACTTGAAAGAAATAATGATTTTACATTTATCGTGATAATTATCAATATCAACTGATAAGAAAAGTTTTTATCGTGATAATGTTTTTGGCCATATCGCCCAGCCCTATTGTGGGTGCAACACCAATTGCTGCAGCTCTTGCATCACTGACAGAACAGGGTAGAGGAATCTCAAAGGAGAACTGCATGAGGTGAGACATTGGATCCCAAAGGGACTGTTACAATTTAATATCAATTATTTTTGGCTATTAAACCGTTTTTTGTTTAAGGACGTATAAAGCTAGTAAAGGCTTTTATTTTATTTACTTCCTATTCCTTGATCTCTTCTATCCGTTCCTCACACCAGTGCTGAGCAAGCTTGAAAATGTCAATGAATATTATATTTTTATGTGTGATACCTTCATATATTTTCAGTTGGTTATGTAACACTACATTAGTAAGTACACAAATAATCACAGATGAAGAAAGCCAGACTTTAAGATACTTAAGGTATCTTGAGTATCTGGAGGGAAGCTGTAAAGTGTTCTTGACAATAGCTGTTTCCATGGGCCTGTTTCCTTTCAGACACTCCCAGGTAACCTGCCCTCAATATCCTCTCCAGCTATGACGTCATTGAGTATTCAGGAAAGGCTCTCTTTTTGTGTCTCTTCCTCTCGTGTCCTACTCCCACGGCAAAAGAGCGCTAACTCAGAGGAAACCGAGTGACTTCACACCCTCAGGCAGTAGTGGGAGGGAAATTTAATTTTGAAAAAAGGAAAAAAAGTGACTAATATTGTATTTCCCACAATTAATGGGTGTCCTTATTAATGGCTATGTGAGTGTTCTGTAATATCCGGGCAAATTAAGTATGAATTGTAACATTGAAATGATAGTCAGTATGAACAACACTCTTACCACTTCCTTTGATGGATTGCTTAGTAGTCTGATAATACCAAGCGATTCCTAATGAATTGCATTTTTATCTAAACTGGTGTTCTAATGAACTTGTTTAGACTGTTATATGCCTGAGGAAGAGACCATTAGCCGTCTGTATTTTTAGAGTAGCATTCTTTTCCATGTCTTAAAATATCATATGATTGACAAGTGTAGCATGTCATTTTCTTCTACGTAAGTGTATTCAACAGCAAACAGAATCTGACATGTCTGCTTTTTGAAAGAACATCAATATTCATTCCATATACTGTACAGTGCATTGGTGAATTGTTTTCTTGTCAACATCTCTGTGCTAAAAAGCGTGAGAGCTGATTTGAACAGTTGCCAACCCTCAGACATTTATATATAGCCTTCAAAACACAAGTCACATTGGAATTGCACTTTCTCAGCTAAAAGGAGCACTACATATTTGGATGCTTTTTGATATCTGTTTTACTAAATGTGTTATTTTTGGGATTCATGTGTTATTTTTTTAAAGAGTAATGAGTATAAAAAGGTACTAATTAAACTTTAGAGTAAATTGTTTCTTTTTAAAACCATTGTCTGTAGCTGGTACCCACATAGCCTGATCTCAAAGCTCTTTCTTGTTTGTTTTCTTTAAGGTGTTTTATGTGTCGGATCTCTTCAAGCCCAAGATAAAGACCACCACCCCACCACCATCTCCCATTAAAAAAGAACTGCTTCCTTCAGCAGACATAATTGAACGTAACAACCATCACAACATGGTGTGAGCAAGCAGCGGAACAGTTTAAACAATGAAGAACAGACCTGTGACAGGTGAACAGCATCACAATGCTGCTTCTCTTTCTCATCTGACAGTAGAATGTAGGGAAGAGAGACTTTTTTTTTACTTCTTCTGTTTTTACCCACAAGTCAAGCAAAAAGGACTGAAAATGGAGAGTTTTGAGACCATTGCTTCCAGTTCGCATGCAAAGAACTTTCTCTGAGATTGTAGGAGTTACTACAAATATACCGACATGAAGTGTAGCTGTGAAGATATGCAGCTGGTTAAAGTCAGAGTTCACCATTTTGTATTATCTCTGTGGCCTTGGTATTGGACAACAAATTCCTTATGTATAGGAATGTTTTTTTTCTGCAATTTACTAGCAATGATATATTAACAATATAAAATAATTTATAGAACTATATTCAAACTCATTGTCAACTAGTCTAGGAGCAATAATTATTAGAAAGCCTGTTGATATTTTTGTATGACACCAAGGAGATTCTAGCCTTAGAATACAAAGTGAGGGAAGGATCATTCTGATGGATAAGCTTGGCTCATGTCTGTCCCTTACTGGAATCCTCCGGTTACTTCAAGCATAGTAGTGCAGAGTCTGCAGTATGAGCTTATGTTTAACATTTGGTGATTTAATCTTTTGTAAAGGCATCAAGCTTGCTCAAAGTATTCAATATACCAATTCAACTCCATGGGATGTTGCAAAAGTCATTAAAGCATGGAAGGGGTGGGAAAAACAATCTAGATTATCAGATGCCTGTTAAAAACGTATTTTTTATATATTTTTTTGCTTTGAAGGCAATGTGAAATGGATGTTTTATCATCACTGCCTCCCGTCACCAGCCGTACTGTAAAAGCATGGCTGTGCCATGCTGAGCTGTGATGGTGGTAGGGTTTTCAGTACCAGGTGGGTGGGTGTTAGGGGGGAGTTGGGGTTAGGGAAATGGGGATCAGTTGTGACCGTCCTTGGGGTTGACTCCCAGGGAGTGCCGGCACATTGGCGTCAGGGCTTCCTGCTGGCTGGGAAGTGTTGACACAGTCGCACGTAAACAGAACTATACATTCCAGGAGTACAGCAGACAAGCCCCCACACGCAGCTTCAGTAATAAGGCCTGGCTGTTCCAATATGCGCAATGAATCATGACGTCTGCCTTCACCTGTGATGCATGGAGCATGTTTCACAACAACATCAAAGCCAAGCCAAGGGTTTAGGATTTATTAAAAATATTTTCTCATATATATATATCTTTCTAGTATATTCTTACTGTAAAGATACATATGTGCTGTGGGTTTTATTCTGAATTTTATTAGCAATCAGTGCATCTTATCATTTGTGAAAAAAGGTTACTAAATGACTAGGGAATGTTAACTGCAAATAAAGCATACAGTATTCTCAATGAACACAATAACATTACAAGAATCTCTGAACTGTTGCACATCCTTTTCATTGTATAGTCCGTCCTATCATTTCAATCATAACAAGCTCTGTTTATTTTTTTATAAATATATAAATAATGTATAGAACACTTAAAGTAACTATGTAAAATATTTTCTGAAACTTTCAGATATTATATCCACTATGAATAAGTGTCATGACCTGTGTTATTTACAAAGTGCTGCTTAAAAAAAGCATTGACCTATTTTGTATGTAGTTAACTAAAATATTGTAGAATTGTAATAGATTTTTTTTTAATAAAGGTTAAAAAAGCTACACCTACAATTGTATTAAAATTACTTGTAGTATTTTTGTATTGACTTTTTGTACAAAACAAATATTAGCAAATAAAGTTTGTTTCTGCAAAATGTATTTGGATGTAATACATGTGCTTTTAAATAAAAAAAAAAGTTCAGTATCAACGAATAAGTACTGTAACTGCAATGTATTCACTGAGACAATAGTTTCTTTGACAGAACAAATGTTTCTCCACAGGGAAGAGCACCAAGCAGTGTGAAGTGATTTCATCTAATCTTTCACTTTGTGTTACACTACTCCAATCCTGAAAAGGCCAGAAGGTTTCTGGTTTTATTTCTACCTTAATTACCTAATTGAACTCATTATGTGCTTAATTGGATAAATTGAAGTCTTTCCTTGTTCTTCTTTTAAAGGTGGAGAATTTAAAGAGACCTGTAAAACCTGCTGGGAAACAGCCCTTGGGAACTTGAGTTGGGCTGCCTTACTGTAGACAAGCAATCTCCGTTTTGACTGATCATGATTTTGAACTCGATGCCCAAACATTTAGTAATCCTTAGTGAGTAGTCCCTTCAGTCTCTCAGATCAGCAGCACTATCTTAAACAAGACATGTTTTCAACATGGTTCTGAAATAGCTGATGACCCCACCCTACTATAATTCCAGGATTGCTTTCAGGTGGTGCTGTGATGAGGTAATACTGTAGTGTGTGGGATGGAACTCCACATTCCACTGGTCCAACCAGTATTTAATAAGATTAGTCCTGATGGGAGTAGTGGTAAAAGTGTGCCTTCAGCTTATGCCAGTCACACATTGCCTGCCACTTTCAGTGTGATTCATAATAGTTTAGCCAGCAAGTGTATAATAACTTAGAAAAAGCTCATTAAATATTTAGGATACACTGAAAGCCCCAAAATCAGCAAGTGCAGATTGCTGTCTGTGATGTTTCATTTTTCATTGATAAAAAGGAATTCTTGCTAATTGATTATACATTGAAATACTGTTTATTGGCAGCTGTTTAGAGCGGATTACAGGTCACGTTGATGGAAACTGATCTTTCAGTAGAAGGCTAATTAATATTCTATCATTAAGATGAATATCTAACCACTCATTATGAGAAAGCTGGAAGGGACCCAGCCACCTGGAGCTTGTCCTGGAAGCACAGGGAACAAGGTTGGACTCCACCCTAGATGGGATACCAACCATCACAGGCCAGTCATATACACCAGATAAGCTCAGGGTGGCTTTAGACAATGAAAGAAAACCCATGCGACCACACAGAAGGCTGTAACTCTGCAGCACTAATTGCCATATAACGGATTTTCCTTTGTTAGCTGGTATCATTTTGTTAACATGTTAGAACTGTAGTCTAGAACAGAGATTCTCAATCCTGGATGACCACACACCTGGTGGTTTTTTTTCCAGTTCAGCTTAAATACTTAATTGAAGCCTTAATTGAACATGCAAGGTGTTTGATTTGAACTTTTGTTTCTACTCACGACTGTGTGTGATTTTATGTTACTTAATAAATGCAGTAGTTCAAAAACATCATCTAACACCTGAAAAGTAATCAATTCAAATGAATTCCATTATGAAGTCAGTTAAGGATTCAAGGATTATGTAACACAGCTTGACTGGAACGAAAACCAGAAGGTGTGTGTGGGGGTCTCCAGGACCAGAAATTGGAACCGGGCCTCTGGTCTAGCATCCAGAAAGAGTTATACCAGCAGTGAGATTGTGCTTTAAAAAAATAAGAAACTTCAAAGATCCAGCCTTATGACAATTTGCTGTATACATTGATGGGGGTGCATGTGATTTATTTTAGTAATGAAGAAACGACACCAGCACAAACGGTCACGGTTTTTGACAACAATCAACAACAGGTTTTTGTAAACAGTGTCCCTTGCAGTCGTGGAACACATGACCTGTTCAGATGTTATCTGGTTGCTAAAGCACCATCACAGGGAATCTGGACTGTTTCCCTGAGATCTGACAGCTATAGGCCAACACACTGCAGGCCGATTCCTTCAATGATTCAAATTCTCAGCTTTATTGCCTTGATATGTTTACAGTATCTTGGCACTGGAGAGATGAAGCTGAACATTACTTTGCTTTGACAGTGCCCTACGCTTGCCCTTGCTGTTGCAGAAGGGATAGTGAGATTAGTTCCTAATGCTCGCATTGCATGTCAAAAACTTTCCCTGGACAAAAACATTCCTGCCCAGTATAATGCTCCCTGTTTACATCCTCAGTAATATAGTGTTGTATCATTTCCTTAAAATACAATCATATTTCAAACAGGGTACAATGGTCACACAATGGTTAACATTGCTGCCTCATAGCTCTGGTGCCCTGGGTAAAATTCCAGACCTGGAGTGCTATCTGTGTGAAATTTGTATGTTCTGCCTGTGTTTGCCTAGGTTTCCTTAAGGTGCTCCTGTTTCCTCCAACAGTCCAAAGACCTACTGGTAGGTTAACTTCCCCTTGTGTAACTGTGCACGTTTCTGTTTGTGCCGTGTGAAGGACTGGCACCTGTTTATGGTGTGCCCTGCCTTGTGCCCATTGCTTACAAAGATAGGCTCCAGCTCCTCTGTGACCCTGATTTAGATGAAGTAATTAAAAAAATGGATGTATGGACATTTACACATCTCTTTGCACTCTTATCTGAATCTAGATTGCAGAATTGCAAAACTTTTTTTTTTACTCGAAAGCATCTGTACTAATTCACAGGTAGCTTTGCTTCTGCTTCCCTCTACACAGTAAAAGCCAAGTCTCAAAATTATAAGTGATAGATTTCTAGTAGTTACTGTATATTGTGTGGAGGTGAGCAAAGTGTGTTTTAGAGCAACTGGCTTAGGTAACTTATTTATTATCTTTGAGCTTTGAATACAACATTTTGGCTGTGGAGCCTTCTTCAGGTTTGATAAAGAGAGGAAAGTCATTGAATGATATACATGTATGCCCGTACAGGCTTAATTCTCCATCTCTAACAAGATAATTATCTAATTTATCCATCTTTTTGTGTCACTAACCAAAATCCAACCATACATTTTTTGGGAAATAATTTAGTCCATGTATTGCTTGCTCAAAGCCCATATAAGACAATGTTTTACTAGAACTGCTTTTGTGCTAATTAAAATCTGTCCTTTCACCTAGTGTAGTTTTATTTGTTTTCCCGTGTCCCCTGGGAGGGTGCTTGCAGAATATTCCCAGAGAGGATGAAGGAGCCAACCCTTCTTCCTCTCATTATCATTGGACTTCCAACCAAGGCTTCACCTCTTGAAAGGTCTGCATTGCAGAGATAAGAGCAGCACTTTGAGAAGTGTTTTTTCACTTATTCCCAGGCATTTTAACTGGACCACACATACCAAAATACTTTATTACAAAAAGCATCAAATGTTTCTTTTGGACTTCAAAATCTTTCTAAAAAGATTTATTTTTAGAAAGTAGACCGTAAGAAGTAGCTTACTTTACATTTGGTGAAAACAATTTTTAGAAAGATAAAAAATGTTTTCACATGGGGTGACATTAGACTGAATCGTGTCAGATTCTCCACAAATTGTTTGTAACTCTCTCATGCTGAATTGTGTTAACATAAACCTACACCATGTTGATAATTACTAAAATGAGTGTGAAAAACACAAAAAGTGGTAAAATACAAGAACATCCGTTTCAAATTTTGTTTTTATTGTTCTGTTCTTGATGTTGCTTTAATGTACAGTACACACAATCTGTCAACCAAGCCTTTAAAATAATGTATTAAAGATTAAACTCACAAACCTAAGGCAGTAAGTTCCAAGGTTCTCTGAAAAAGTGTACATTCAGGTTACTTTTTACCATTTCAGAGTATTCAGTTTCTCTCCATTTTCAATATGTTGCGCGCCCATTGACATCTGTTAAAAAGAGTCTGGTTGGGGAGCTGTGTCAGTTTGCAAGCTGTAAATTAACAAGTAGAGGTTAATTTCATACTGAAATGTAGAAATAAAGATGAAAGCTCAGCACACTGTTTTTTCAAGTTGGTCGCTGCATCAACATGTGTAAGCTGCAAATGAACAAGTAAAGGTTTATTCCATGCTGAAAAGAGAAGAAAAGAAACACAACTGTGGAGCCTTCTTGGGGTGCAACACCCAAATGATACCCAAAGCTGAAATGTTGTTTCTGTTCTTCTCTTTTCTGCATGGAATAAACTTTTACAGTGTTTTTTCTTCTTTCAACTTTTCAGTGTGGAATTAACCTGTATGTGTATGCGTTAATCTTTCAGAGACTTAAATATTTATGCTGTTAAAATATATTGAAAAGCATTAAAAACAGAACTGGTTATATTTGTAGCATTTTATTGCCACTGAGTAATATTTCTTTTACACCTGGAATGGATCAAACGACAAGAGGAGTCACAAAAATTACAGGTTAACAGATGCAGCAAGGTCCAAAGGTACAGAGTTTTATTTATGGACACCCCTCTTCACTCCCAATATTAAATATGCACTTTTTCACTCTGTATAAAACAATTATGAAGCCTGGCCATGGGCACCTGTGAAATACCACTTCTATATGAAAATAAACTGTTTGTCTTATAAAATAAGATGGTTGTCTTTAATGAAGTGCAATTTCCATGTCTCCCTTTTGAGTGTGCAAAAGTGTATTGATAAAGCTGCTATTTCCCTTATTTATGTGCAAGTGTTTCTCAGTTGTAAACTGAGATGGTGCTTTTTATTTTCAATGAAAGTACACTAAAAGTGGTATACAGTTGGCAGTAATAGGGATGTTTTTTGAGCACCTCTAATGTAGCTCAATGCCAAGTGGTGGGTGAGATCATTTTCACAGCACTAAGCTGCAAATAACACACAGTCACTGGTTATTGCATTTCAGGTGTGACTTGGGATATTTCATCATTCAAGAATGCAAGTAAAGATTCTGCTAAAATTATTTTGGTGATAAGTTATATACAGTATGTGATATGATATGTTTAATGTGTTATAATATGTGATATGATTATATATTTGATATGTTGAAATATTAGTAGAATTATATTCATGAACAAATAGCTTAACCCTTT